GTTGTCGTTTTCCTAGAAATTAAAGTGTCTAATTTAGATTATTTTTTCATGTTTTCCTGCAGTGTAAATGCGCAAGTCACTTTCGTAGGAGAACCCAATATAATATAATATCTAATTAATACTTGATAAGACAAAACATTTTAATCGTTTTGAATCTGGCATTGTTATCTCTGCATATAGGGCACTTGAAATTACGCTTACAATCACTTTAGATAAAAATACTTATTAAAATGATTTTTTTAGAGGATGTGTTGCGCGATTTTGTTAACTTTTAGCAAATCTAACAAAAGCTTCTCATGATCTCATTTCATGCGTGAAATAATAGGATATTTCTAAGTTTAATATAGACTTTTTTTTGATATTACAAGAAGAGCAAAAATATAAAATTATAAACTTTATTAAAAGTAAAGATTACAGGAAGGAAACTTTATTTATGTAATTGGAATTACGAAATAAACACGTCAAATCACATTGGCTTCAACCCTTTCATGGTTTCAATCATAACTCATTTGTATTGAAAAAGAGCTATTGAGCAAAACATTTAAATTTTTAATGTGTTGTAACCAAACGAATAGCTATCTCCCCCTCCCCCCTTTCCAATCCCTATATCTTCACAACCTGACTAAGTAAACCTTTGAAATTTAATCAAATTCAAAGTTTTAAATAGCTAAGGTTTACGACACTGGGTTGCAAAAATAAAGGAAATCAGGATTTGTGGCCAAGATTCAATTATATTTCAGCTACTGCTTCACTGTGCTAAATGTCAAAACTAGTTTGAAAAAATTACATATTTTTTTGCAAATCAAAAATTCTAAAGTCGAATCATAATCAATTCATATAATTTATTTTACTCGCTTTTGCTAAAAATCCAATAAAAAGGGGCCAGAAATGAAAAAAAATGTAATTATCAGATAAATCCATGCTTTTCATAAACCGTTTTTTTGTCAAAATTGAATTGAACTATTTAAAAGCTTTCCAAAAATTTACAAATTTTCATATTTATCTTTATAACTACGGATTTAGAGGGGGGTCAAATTACCCCCCTCCCCTCCCCCAGCTTATACTGTTTTTTTTTAAGTACGTATTTTCAACCAGAAAATACTGTTTTATCCTTGTTACTCAGAAACAGAGGTTTTAAGTGTAACGTTGTGAATCGATAGGAAACCTTTATCGTATTGACTCAGAAAACTGTTTTTTGTTGTTGATATTTGGATTAGACTACAAACACTTTTTGCGTAGTTTTTCAAAAATTCTGCAATTTGTGCTTTAAGGAATTGAATCTTTGCCACAAAATCTGAATTTTTTATCCCTATATCTCTGCAACCCAATTTTCGACGCATTCATATATAGTTTATATTTCATAATTTTTCTTTATTTTTTTTTGATCTGAGATTAACTTATAAATTTTTAATTCCTGTTTCGAGAATTTTTGATAATGAAGCCTATACCCTCTTTCATTTTTCGCGAACACTCCCTTTAAGAATGACAATGCGGATTAATTAGAATACTAATAAAAAATGTTGTATCCATGCAGTGTAAAGATATATGATTATAAATAAACACACATGTATGTATGTAGTATGTACTTTCCAATTTTGATTGAATGTAGATTTTGAGAGTAAAATTAATACTCTTTAATACTCGTTAAAGGGAGTGACCGGCTATGATCGGATATGTAAGGTAGTTAAACTGAGTATGCAGTTTTGTAGAAAACTTCTTTCGGGTTCATTTGAGACATAGTAAACTTTTTAAAGATCTGTAAATCCTGAGTTTGAGCGCAAATTCGACGTTCGAAATTCCTACCTTGGGGATGGATACGTTTTCAGAATTAGTTTTTTTTTTAATTATTAAATAACGACGACAAAATGTAAACAAAACTCTACAGTAAACTAATAAGTTGTTTTGGAACCGGTTGAGAAAACAAAAATTAATCTTATCATCGAAAATAAGTAATCTTGTTCAATTATTAGTTTCTATTTTCTCAATATTCTAGGTCTCATTATACACAAACATTTTCTGCAGATTTTCTTGAATTATTATTGAAAAGACGACATTTGGAGAATTTGAAGAAATCTGCAAATAAATTCAAAGAAAATAAGAAATTCAATATAATGATGAAAACGAAATAATTGATTCTAGCATTAATTTATTGACAAATTTCTTTTGAGAAATATGCTCCCAACCATCTGATCTAATTAGATTACTGTATGATATTTACTTTATATTTCGTCATCGACGTCGTTATTTAGTAATTTTTAAAAAACCGATTCTGAAAATGTATCCACCCCCAAAGTAGGAGTTTTGAACGTCGAATTTGCGCTCAAACTCAGGATTTACAGATCTTTAAAAAGTTTTATATGTCTCAATTGAATCCGAAAGAAGCTTTCCATAACACTCCATACTCAGTTCAACTACCTTACAGAGCCGGTCACTCCCTAACCCCTAGATCATTGAAACCTCATGCCTAAGACCTTTTAAAATTCAAATTATGTATTCTACTGGACTAAATAGCCAAAGCTGTAAATATCACAACATCAGGGTGCCCAGATAAAGAGATTATAATATTTAAGGTTTTGGGAAAAACTGAATTAATTTATTGTACAATTTAATTAATTCGTTGGCTTAGCGTGGGGAGACCGTAGAACAGAGGAGTATTCAAGTTTTATAAGATGTGGGAGTTATTAATCAAATAAAAATCTTTCAGAATTATATATTCTTTCTGAACTTTTTTATGAATCATTCCAACCTCGTTTTGTTCTTTTCTTTGTGCTCTTGATCGAGAATGATTCAAGAAGTTTGTCCCACCATACAAAATTTTCCTCATTCGTTCTTATTCTAATCGTTCCATCCCCGTTATGTTCTTTGTTATTTCATGAAGAACGATTCAAGTCTCTAAAGAACAGTTTTTAATCATTCCTCAATTATTGAAGAGTATTGAGTAGAACAAAGTTGCTTAAAATGCATAATATTTAACCAGATATTCAATTTATTGTTCAATCAAAAAACCAGATAAACATCCTCATACACAATGTTTAATGGACCAATTGTCATGGACTAATCTTCAGTGAGATCATGTTCTCGACTTTTGTACATTTATATATATTATCATTTATAACATTTAAAAAGATAAATTTGCTTTTCATAATACGTTTACGAAAAATCAAAAGTACAGAAGCAACGTGGTTACAAAGTTGTGCCGGTAAAGTTACATAAATTTGACTGTCTTCATCTATCTAGCTAGTAGTGAACTTAATGAATGTGATTGACAGTAAACAGTGAATGTGTGTAAGTTCAGTGCAATTGTACATTCCAGTGTCCAGGCACAAAAGCCAGAAAAGCAAGGATGGCTTCGACATAGGGATGGAAATCGTTTTCAAAAACGTTTTATGTTTCGTTTTGGATTTTTTAAAACTAACAAAATACAAGAAAAAAACGAATTATTAAAACTATAATAGATGTGTTAATTTTAAGCTTTTGAAATCAAAAAACGAAAGGACTAAACTAAAGTTTAAAAAAAATAGATCTTTTCTCTTAAAATTTTATTTATGCAAATTTTCTCGTTTGAAGCGATTCAAAGTAGATTTAAATCTATATTTTTCATCAAAATGCTATATACATGTCGCATTTGATCCAAAACGATCGTAATTTCCAAACGATCACTTTCAAAATGATCATTTTCGTTTTAATTACAAAATGATAGTTTTATTACAAAACGAGATCGTTTTTTACAAAACTGTCGTTTTTATTATATAATGATCTATTTTAAAACCATCGTTTACATCCCAAAACGATAGTTTTTCCATTTTTTTAAAAAAAAGATCGTTTTCATAAACGATCGTTTTGAAAACGCCGTTAGGCTTTTTCTTCTAAAAAATTTCATAACTTAGTTTCATCCCCTTTAAAAAAACTATCATTTTCAAAAAAGATCGTTTCGATTTTAGATTTTTTCATCGTTAACAAAACGAAACCAACGTTTTAAAAAAAAGTCAAAACTGTCCATTCCGAAGCTTTGATATTGATGATCAGTACAAATTGTTAAAGGGTAACTTTGTAAATGCACCACTCTTCTAAAAAAATAGTCTACTGTCCCTTTAAACATGATTAAGGAATAAGATGTAGAAAAAATAAACCAGAATTGTTGTAAAGTTTATATTAGTTAACGATAAATAAACAACATTAGTAAATTACCCAGTATTGTGATAATAATTATCAGGCAATTCTGTTTACTTAATATTATGGAGAAAACGCATGTTAAAGAAATATATAAATAAAATATTAAATTAAATAAAATTAAATTAAAGTTTAGGTTTTGTTGTAAAGCCTATTGTACATTTTGAAATTATAATAATATTAACTTTTTCTTATTTCAATTTAATGAATTTCCACAATAAAATTATAAACAACATCTTTTAAATCTGACCAGTCGTAAACCTTGGGGTGTAGAAGAGTTGTGAGTTGCCACAAAAAAATGTAGAGCCAATTATCGGTTCAGTCGTTTTGACGTTTATTAGATACAAAACGGACAAGCTATCAATTATTCATGAAATACTTTCTGCTCCAATTTGAAAATCACATATTGTATTTTTACCTTTTTCCGAAAGACATTTTGAAAGTTTTTTTTATTTATCCAACACCTCCCTATTCAAGTTCGCGGTAGAAAATGGTCAAAAATTAGTCATGATTTTAAAAACTTTATGGAGAAAATCATGACACCCCCCCACCCTACTATACAATAATACCCCGACCGGGATAGGTATAAGATTTGTATACATTTCTATAATTTCTAAAAATTTATTTTCTTTTGTTGAATAAAGTGCAAATAATCTACTTCCATTGAATATTATCACGAATACAGATTACAAAATGATGGATTTCACATATATATAGAAAGTATTGCGGAGAATATAGTTTTAATGGTTTGTTGTATATTTAGATTTGTGATCTGTTTTTCTCTAGATGTTATATAAATACAAATATTCCATTTTTTTCTTTTATTTTAGGTGTTCCATGGTTGAATCCTGTACATTTGATATCAGTTAGAAGTGTTAGCTCTCAACAGGTGAAAGGGACTGAAACCTGAGCATTTTATGAGTTGGTCGAGCCCCATAAGAGTTTTCATCCTGTCTCGAGAAATCGATATAAAACTGTGTTAAATTTATACGAAAATTTATATATATAAAATTTTGTATAAAAATCGTAGGTTTAAAGCAAACAGATCATATTCAGTAAATATGCAACCAATCTGAAAACAACTGTATCCTAGAGCTAGCCTAAAAAACTTAGGCTGACATTTAAATCACAAGGAACAATATAAAGTGGTCGGTTTGTAATGCTAAATTAAAGTTTTGAGTATTATATATATATTTTTAAATATTTAAACAACTTATTTAAAACGCAAAACATCCATTTAGAGAATTTTTTTAAATTTCAAATTCTCTATGGTTGTTTTGATAATTGGTAAAGATATTAGAAACCATGCAATAATTTAAATAATATTATCTTTTAATCCGTACACCCTTATATACACCGAGCCAACCTTGTATCATAAAACTTTACGCTGGTTAGTCTATAACGAGTAAGAGGCTCAATTAGTAATCATTAGATCGGTAAATCCTTGTAACGGTTTGGATAATGCAACAATTAGCGCCACGTGCTTGACAAACATATTGTTAGAGAAACATAACATTTGGTTCTGAAGATCGAACTACTGAAAACATTTCGAAATCTTGAGCATTTTATTTTAAATTATGAACATTTTATTTGAAATTATGAATATTTCGTTTGAAATTATGAACATTTTGTTCAAGATCATGAAAATTATTGTTCAAACTTATGAAAATTGTGTACTAAATTATTAACGTTTTGTTCCAAATTATGGACAGAATGTTAGGATTGTCTAACAAATAAATTTATACACCCCTAACAATGTCTATATCTTTATAATTTCTAACAGTTAATTTAAAAAAAATAGACAATTTCATGGAAATAATTTTTTTCTATATTTTTAGGCATTGGATCTAGATTTCTCAGACCATCAAAAAGTATTCAGGTCTTTTCAATGTTTATAATGTTTAAGGGTGCCCTAATAAACCACATTGCGTTTCTGTCGTATATAGACGAATTCCTACTGTTGAAGGATGATGTTGAAAGATAAAAGACGACAATTAAGATTAACTTCTTAGTATTTTAGCTTTTGTTATATAATTTAGAAAAATATGTTTACAAATTGTACATTTGTACGCAAAGTGTCAAAAATTTACAAATAAAAAATGTACTTTATTACAAAAATGTGAAATTTGTTTTTTTATCGCGCATCAACTCAAAACAAAATACACTTTTCTCCCTAATTTTGAAATTCCAAAATTATACTCTCTCTGCTATTTAAATTTAAATGTGTAAACAATAAAGTTTGAATTTTAAGAATTAAACTGTTCACAAATGTCTGAATTTAAAAAAATCTCCGTCTTTAAAAGAAAGTACTTTGTGATCTGCACTAATTTGGCCCTATTTTGACCTTTTTAAAGATTATCCATGTCATTATTTGTCATCAAAGATCGACTATATATCTCAATTAATTTTAATGTTTATAAAGACACAAGTCCCATGATGTAATCTAAATAATGGGACTAGTATAGCACCAGAGGCGTTTTCAGGGGTGGAACTATGGGGGCTAAGCCCCCCCCCCCCTGGACCAGTGAAATCTATTGATTTCAGGGGGTTTTTAGGCCCCAACATGTGCTGAGCCCCCCCCTAGACAATTTCCTGAATACTCCCCTGGTAAGCGGCAACTACGACAAAGAAATCTGCCTTCTCGGTATATCATGTTCATGATCATCAAAAAATATTGGATCAAGATCAACATTTACCCCCATATTACAAGGAGGAGGGGGGGATTAGTGTGTGATCCCCCACTGGGGCCAAATCCCATTCACTGGGAGAGTACCTGCCTTCTCGATGGATCACGCAACCCTCACCCCCAATCCCCTTACCAATCCATACATCAATCATCATAAAACATTTGACCAAGATCATCAAGATTTGAAAATATATTTCGGTCTGGGTAAACAATCGATTGTAAAAATGTTAAAAACCACAAGAAAATCACCAAACGAAGTTTTTTTAAAAACCTTAACCTGATTTAAAATCTCTATAGCTATGCAAAACAATGCCATTGTGAAGATTATATATTTACTGATATTCTTAGGATATAAATATATTACAAATTCTATAAATATGTTGAGAATTAAGCTTGAAGATCTTCTCTTCTTCCTGGTTCTAATCAGACTGGCTCCTGGATTCTCTTTTCATCCTTCCCGGATTTTATCCTTCCATCTCTTGTGGATTCTTAGTTTGTGATCTCTACACCATAGACCTTTGATTTTCCAAATTATGAAGTAAGATAAACTAAAAGTTTGAAATATCAAAGGCTTGCACTTTTAGGTTGCAAATATATAGGGATTAGTTTGAGGAAAAAATTCAATTTCTTTATTTATATATTTATCAAAGAAGTCATCTGGGGTGTTTGAAAATAAATATCTCCTGTTCTACCCCCCCCCCCCTCACCCTTCTCATTCTAGAATTGCAAAATGTCCCGGTTCTGCAAACTTTAAATTTTGGAATAATTTGATATTTTTCAAAAATAAACTTTGAATGATCATCAATGCCAAATGCTAATGCAGTGTAACTTAATATTGCAGATGTGTTAGAATATTAAAGTTTTCTAAATTTTTAGAAAATAAAATCAAGTTCCCAGTAAAAGAAAATATGAAAAAGATTAAACTAAATAGCTATGGTAGGACAAACTGACTTCCCCCCCCCCTCATAGTTTCAGTAGAAGTAAATATTTCCATTTACTGTTAGCTCCCATTGAAGGATTCATAACTCTATTGGGTAAAGAGATAGATAGAAAGATATATGATACCGCCATACTATTTCTACTTGTTTAGAATCGACAACAAACACATGACTGAACCCTGATTGGATGAGGCGCTAATGGACTCGGCATACATGAGTGCCCCCCCCCCACCCATTGATTTTCAGACGAACAAGATTGCGTAATATTATGTTTATCCTGGGATAGAGGGGTGGGGTGGGGTGGGGGGGGGGTTCTCATGTAAGTTCTGAGCCCAAAAAATATCAATTCATTTTTTTTATTTTCAGATTTAAGAGCACTGGAGACTTACTCAGGTCTGATGCAAAATATCAAAACTTTTTTATTAAATTCTTTTCAACTAAAGTATGTTGTAATTTACAACAAGAAAACTTCATTTTAATGCAAAATAGTTTAAACTTAATTTTTAGAGACATATTTCGTCAGATGCAATTTTATAACTTGTTTAATGTGTACTGTAACTGTAACTGTAAATGTAACAACAATACAGTACATAAGAAATAAACAATACATTACATAAGAAATGAACAATACAGTACATAAGAAATGAACAATTCAGTACATAAGAAAGAAACAAAATACACTTACTCCTAAACATAATTTTCTAAACCCAAAATTGTGTTCACCTGTGGTGTAAATATTTTTTTTAAAATTATATTATCAGAAGTAGCAAAGTCCAAGATCTACGACATAAAGATATATAGACCATGCAATTAGATTTGTGGCAAATGTTCATTTCAGTCATATTCAAATAATATTCTTGTTTTCCGTTGACCCGTCATGGTGTTTAATTCAATATTTTAGATTATAATTTGTTTGTTTTCTTCTTTTTTAGTGCATTTTGAATCTTCAAAGAGAACATTTTTTTAATTTAAGAAAAAATCGTCATTAATTAGGTGCAAATGCATTTTCAAAGTAAATTTAGATACTATTATTTTTTCAAATAAATATTTACATTGTGATGTGAAAAGCTGATTTCTAAAATGTTTATTTTTCAAAATATTTCTTTTATTTCCACTCTTGAGTTTAAATATATAACAAAATATAAATGTTAAATATATAAATTTATAAATTTTGCATTATTTTTGTAGAAGTCTGGCTATACTAAAAATTTGCTCTATCAACAGCTTTGTGGAAAATGCTTTGCCAGGAACACATACGACACATTGTTAAAAGATTTCTTCTATTTTACGTAATTTCTTTTTGCAAACATTATAAATCTGAAATTCTTAAATTGATTATTTACTGAATGAAATATAAATTTAAAAAGTAAATAACTAATTAGATAAGTTTATCCATTCATCGCTTTTGATCGCTGCTAATTTTACTTCTATCTGTTGCGTCTATAAGGAGAAAATTGTTAAAAACGACCTATACTGAAGAACATAGCGTCCATACAAATTCAGAAAGTTGCAATATACGACTTGTTTCATAAATAATCAATTCAAACAAATCATTCAAATATTTTTACGCCGTAAGCCCCCTTATATTTATCACGAACACTCCCTTTAATAGAGAGTGTATCATTATAATTGTATCTCTTCAGCCGATCAAACTTTAAATAAACCAAAAAAATATTATAAAGATCATAAAGTTCACTTGGTTGCAGGGAATCTATAAGACACAGACAGTTGTAAATTCGTCAAATTTCCTTCTCTGAATTGTATTCCTTTGTGGGTAACCCTGTATCTATACTTATATATAAAGTAGTAATCTCTGTCTATTTGTGTGGATGTCTGATCATAACTCAGAAACCCCTGAGGTGATTTGGCTAAAATTTTGATTGGGGAAACTCTGGAATGTTCTTAGCTTGGTTAATATGTTGCCTATAGTAGCGAAAGTTTACTTTTCACACAAAGCTGGGTTCCCAAACTAGTTAAAGCATAATTCTCTAAAATACCATAAAGAAATCTGTCTGATTGCAGTTCAGTAAGTTTGAATTTTTAGTTTTGATATTTAATATATGTTGCTTTGTTAGTTATGCGGAAATGTGAGCAATTATTTGGCGAACGAATGTTTGCAATGGTTGCTCGGCCAACGTTCTACAGGTTAACATAGTTACTAGCATAGATTAATAACAATACAGATATAACACTAGTTGTCGTCTTTTCAAGATTTAGGGGTTCTCCGTTCACAATCACCCTGAGGCAGAAGCCCAAAGGAGTTACGCGCATGCTCTCTGTGTCTTGTCATTCGAAGCAGCATGTGCGTAACTCCTTTTGGCTTCTGCCTCAGGGTAAGTGTTTCAATTGCCTTAAAACCGAGGTGTACGCTAGCGTACTTACCCAACACAGCTGATATTACTTGTGAAGTTGTGTCCCTTGTCTACAAATGGACGGTCACTTAAAAATACGCACAGTCCCTTAAAAACTTTATTAAATGAAAAATCAAAAACAAAATATTTGTTTAATCATAACTAGATTAAAATTTATATATTTAAATTTATTTTTAGGCAATTTGTTGGAGGAATGGACCAATTTCTAATTTTGTTTATCTTTTTAAACAATTCATTATGAAAAAGTATTAGTTCTCTAGGACAAAATTAAAAAAAACATTAAATAATTTATTTTTAACATTTTATTTATTTTTCTTTATTTTAAATCAAAACTTTGGCTCGTGATTGTGAAGGAGAGACAGAGGAAGAACTAAGGTAAACCAACATATCTTTATTTTTTTTATTTTATTAAAAATATTTTTTAATTTTTAATTCTGCAGTTTATTTAAATATTAAAGTTTACACGGCCGAGGGTAAGTCAAGTCGAAACCAGAAATTATTCACTGCCAACTAAAGTAAATAATTAATAAGTTTTATTTTCTAATACTTGTTTGTAAAATCAAAACAAGAGGAGCTATGATGTCACAAAGTTGGACTAGTAATCTTTCATAAAATGACTTTCTCCTTTTGGTTTGTTTGAAGTGTAGACTGTAAGATGTCCAACCCTCATTAAAATTACCTCAAATAAGATCTGTTTAATGTTTAGGAAACATTTCAGAAGCTTTCTTTGTTTTTTTTTGGATTCAAAACTTAGACATTTATTAGTTTTAAAGATTATCATTGAACATTGCCGGATTTTGTTAAATTTATTTTATTTTTTAATACATCTTTTGAAAATCAAAGCAGATAGAATCAAATTATACATTTTATAAAACAGAATTGAGTGGAAAGAATTATATGATCTTTGAAACTTGAATGGCCTATGGAGAGCAATAAACATACTTTTATAACTCTTTTCAGTACCACAATATTCATTTTTTGTGTTATATAAAAAGAAAAAATTTATCTGAGAGAAAATTTCTAAAAAACGGACCATTAGCCTAGGCATTTCTGGAATTGATTTCTGTATACACTAAAAAATTTTGAAAACAGAAAACTGTTTTTTTTTATTTCTGGCAAAATTCCTAATATTTCTTACACATCTAAATATTGCTTGCTCTTTCCTGATAAATGTACATTTTAAGGTTTGGAATATAAGTAACCTATTGTCTTTGAAAGACAAAATTCTAAGATTTAAATATTTATTTAGTAAAATGTAGAAATCAAAACATTATAATTTTAGAATTACAAGGGTTTAAAGAATATTTCACATGGTGGAAAACAGGCATATAAGTTTCCTACTTTTTACCTCGATTTCTTCAGGCATAGTGAACAGACTTTTTCACTGCAATATCTAAAACATAGTGACAGGGAGTACTCTATCAAAAGGAGACCAAGTTTTACAATTTGTGTTTCATTTTATTATGCATAAATTATCTGATAAAAAAGAGCTCGTAGCTGATGTGAACCACACAAATGTAAGACAGAAGGCTGAAAAAATTCTCTCTACGGTCAACTCTGAAGTCACATCCTGTAATCATGTGCTACTTCCAAGTCCCAGTTGCCTTGAGCCGGAAATTTAAGAGAGTCTCGTTAAACGAAACTCCCGAGTTTGATTTTTGAGGTCTTTGCATTTGTGTAGATTTTAAGTTAAGAATTCAGAAAACAAAAGGAGAATGTAAAGAAACCGCATAATATTTCTAATATTTCTAATAATATTTGTATCTACTAAACTGCCTAACCCTCATTCTGAAACCGAGTTTCCAAAACTGGGTTTTATTACGATACTTAAGTTTCGGGCTCTGAGTAAAATTGTCAGGGTGCCCAACTCTAAATTGTCAAAAATCCACTGAAAGGCAAATTTTTATCCACAAAATCCTCAATAAATAACTAAGAAATCCCCAGAAAATCCTGAATTTTTCCTGCAGAAAACAGCTTTTTTAGAGTTTTTTGGGAGGGTTTATGAGAGTTTTTAACATTTATTTCTGAAAACTTTCCTATAATTTCGAGACATGTTTTTCATTAATTTTTGACAGAATATCAGAAATATCAGAATAAATATTAAAATCCCCAGAATATCTACAAATCCCCAAGGGGTTTCAAAATCCCCAGATTTGGCACTTCTGGGGATTTAATCCACAAGGTTGGGCACCCTGAAAATTGTTGAAGGAGCACATGTGATCGGCTTAAGGAAGCTGGGATCCATCTAATGGTCTGCCCTGCATTAGAGGAAGACGAGGGAGAGTCAGGCGCTGAGATGAAATATGAAAACAACGCGGCATACATTACAGAGATAGGTAATCATTATGTAGCCTGCTGTAAGAACTATCAAAAATAATGACAGCCATGGAATTGATCGATTTAGAATCCAAATTTAATATTTAAGAACACTTTACAATCGTTACTTTACAATCGATAATGATTTTTTAACAATATGATAGAAATGGACCTTGAAGAGAATAGGACGACTCATAATGTTCAAATATATGGAACAACCAGTGTCTGGTTGAAATAAAAAACTTTTGTTTTATTGATATTGAAATAGTTATTGATATCATAATAGTCAGTAACCTGTTGTAATAAAATCAGGAAGTAGAGACTTTTATTCATTTGGTTCGTTCATAGTTTGCGAATAACTCATTACGTTTGTTTTTTTAATCGTTATAAAAATTGATTTCTTTTGTTTTCAAAATTATTGTTCATTAAATCGTTTGGTGCCATCTCTTTACTCTACTATGTTCCTCTAGACAGCAATTTTTAAACCTAAAACAGTTTATGAAGGAATAAATTTTTCAAAAATCATTATTTTAAAGATAGAAATGAAAAAAAATGCTTTAAAATACTAAACAATGAACTTAAGATTTAGGTAATGGCAAACAAGACACAAATGGTTTTGAAAAACACCCATGTAAAATATCTTTTTATTACAAATAAAAAATGAGTTCATTTTTGCAATGCAGAAAGAAAATTGTTAGCTTTGAATAATAATTTTTTAAGGCTGAATATTTCTATACGGAAAATAAAAATATTTAGTCTTAAAAAGCTTTGAATACTGATTAATTTAATTCCTCTTTGATAACTTCGATATCACGTGGTGTACCATGTGAATATACCCTGCATGAATAATTTTGATTGAGGGATCAATTAGTTATCCTCAAATTCAAAAGTAGGGGTTGTATGCGTTTATATTGTAAATGTTTATTGCTTTTCTAAATGGATGCATTATAAAACAGCTGTGAACACAAATGGACAATTTCTTGGAGTATTTATAAAACAAGTTTGCCAAGAGAAAGAAAATATGCTAGGCATTCAAGATGCCTCTGTGTCCTTTCATTTTAGTTTTAAATGTTAACGTTTGATTATTATCTTACCCATGAAAAAAAACCTTTTTGAAGAAGTGTTTATCCACTTGTAGATCTTACAAACCAATAATAAAGCGATTAAAAAGATAATTTTTGAACCCAAAAAGGATTTTGCAAATTACCCCTTATAAACTAAATCTAGAAACGGGCCCATTTTAAATTTGGATGTCTAGGACCACAAAAAATGGAAATACATTTGCGAGGTAAACCAAAGACCAAGGGGCGATGTAACACTTCCAACTCAATCCGTTCTTAACATGTTAATCTATACTATTCTTTTTTAAAATAAACTAATAATAAATTGTAAAAAAATCCACTTTGTTTAGGTAGGATCATGATTAGAGCTGGTGAAGAGCGTCCCTGTCTTCAGTTCAAGGTTTGATCCAACTTTTACAGGAAAACAGTTAACCCTATTTCTGCTATGGGGGGGGGGGGAATTTGACCCCTCCATAGTTTTTTTACATAACTGAAAAAGTACTGGTCTGAGGCTGTTGAATTTTTCCTTTGCCCTCCCTTTAGGTAAAAAACCAGGCTTTAATACTAACTACATGAGTCCCTAGACAAACCGCCTGACTGACTACTTTTTCCTTCAACAAACTAAATCTTTGTTTTGACCGGTTTTGATAAATTTTAATTTTTTTAAACCTATGAAATAAGGAAAGGTATTGCTCAAGTTTTGTAAAGAAATTTTTGCAAATTATTTGCATACAACCCGTCAAAAGAAATTTGCACATTTTTAGTTTTTATTAATCACACATCAGGTTATCTAAAATTTTGCAAACATTTTTTGCATATTTGAATGGCATGGATAAGGGTTTTTCAAAATGTATTTTTAATTTTTTTTGCACACTATTTTTTGCAAACATTTTGCAAATTTTCAATTTTTTGATGCAGATTCTAAAAGTAGAGCTTTCCAATGATGTATAATTAGTCATATTTGGACATCAAACATGGGATTTAGAGGCAAGTGACTTTTTTATTGGATTTGAATAGTTTCTGAAATATAAATTGCAATTCAATTTATTTTGATTGATAATGGTGTGTGTATGTAAATGCATACATAATTTATCAAAGATTTTGCAGAAAATTAAATCCAATAAAGTTTTAAATAGAGTTTGAAACTTTTCCCAAATCATTTACATTGAATTTGCTTTCTGAAACTTGCATTATGTACTTTGATTACATAATCTTCTTAAAACTTCTAAATAAATGTAAATATGTTGTTACGCAAATTCTTAACAAAAGTTTGAACTAAAGGGACTGTTAACTTGATTTTATGTGACCCTACATATACCAAGCAGCATGTCCGATTTGAATCTCTATCCTAAAAGGTTTTTTATGTTAAAAAATAATTGAGATATCCTTGATTTCTCTTTAAACTTGATTATTATTGTACTGTGGTTTCTACATAAAGTATTAACCATCCTGCGTCTCATACACACCCTAGTATGATTAGTAGTAATTCAGTCCATTTGATATCGCCGCTAAATTTCTTTATTTTTCTCCTATTGGTGGATTTTTTTAAAGATAGATAGATAGAATGATGATCGATAGATAGCACTGAAGACACATTGAAACCTAATTAGATAATCATTTGTTAAAAAAAAATTTGTATGTTCCTACATTTTCATCGTTGTTTTATAGTTTAGTGTTAATTATTTTTTTATTTATAAAAATTTAGATTTTTTGTTTGTTTTCGGGGCCCTCGGTTAAATGCAAAAGTTTGAGAGAATGCCGCAACTTGTTTGTTTATTATATAAACATGTTGTTTCGGCCGAATTGAAATGATGTTATAATTTTCGTGATATTTATCGCTAATTAAATGAATGATGGGCATGTGTGGCTGTAGTTAATGTTCATTTGAACTATACTGCCGTTTGATTTTTGAACTATTG